TATATATAAATATATATTTTAAGACATTTCATAAATATCTATATATATATGTATTTATGAATTTATATATATATATATATATATATATATATATATATATATATATATATATTGAACTCAATTTCAAAGACAGAGTTTAAAAAAATAATAATAATATATATATATATATATATATATATATATATATATATATATATATATCGTTATAGCAGTGGTATCAAAACTGGATATTAACTGTCAGTTTCGCGCGTGGTCTTATGATCATTCGGCGTGTGAAAATGGCAGTCATCATACAGTGTTGATTACTATGTCCACACAGTCAATATAGCTATATATATATATATATATATATATATATATATATATATATATATATATATATATATAGATAGATAGATAGATAGTGTGTGTGTGTGTACTCAATTTTGGTTTTAAAATTTGAATGAAAAGGTTAACTTTATTTTTAATAGGAAAGTGATTTCAGTATTTTCTAGCAGTTACTAAAGAATTGGTAGAAATATATGCACATGAACATACTTATGTGTATATATATCATCATGCCTATATGTGCCCATATATATATATATATATATATATATATATATATATATATATATATATATATATATATATATATATCTAGAGAGAGATATTGTAGATACGTAGCTCCTGATTATAATACAAATAGTTTAGTCAAAATTATACAATCATAATTATTTGTAAATTTACCTTTAAATAATGCAAAAATTATTTATCTATAACTTTTTCTTTTGTTTACAATCTCTCTGTCTCTCTATCTATCCATTTGTCTATCTATCTATCCCTATCAGACCTAAAATACAGGTGAATGTATGTACGTGTACACAAGATACACAAAACTTTGCTAACATAAGCAATTCATGAAGCTAGTAGAAATAGCAGTAGTTGTTCGTTCCTTATAATTTTATTTCTTTACGAAAAGAAAGCGGCCTCTCAAAATCTAAAAATTTAAGTAAATATTTTCTGGAAATAAGTACAATAAAACAATAACAAATAATTAACGATCCGTCCGTGGATATAACGTACAACGTTGGAACTTATTATTTTTTCTTTATACTTCTAGATAAACATATTGTTTGACTTAATTTTCACCCAACAACATACTCTTGTTTTCAGTAAATTTGTTTATGGATATGAATGCTTTCAAATTCGTTATACTGCACGCACGCATGCTTATTTTTTGACTCGCATGCACACACGCACAAACACATTCACACATACGTATATTCACTCGCCAATCACACATATACATATATATTTAAACTCACCTTTTAACCTTGATTGTTAACCCAATACAAGGCCCAAGAGAAGCTCAAGGTAGCGTGTTACTGTATGAAGTTGTTTTAAGTGGGATCGATTCACAATCTTTTTCGGTCTTTTGAACAGGAATAGAGAAAATTCCTTGTTTACAAAATTGGATTGGGTTTCCGGTTCCTTCAAAAAATAAATAAATAAATAAATAAATTAAAAAAAAAAATAATAATTCCCTCTCAGTAGTCCCTTAGATCTTAGTGGAATTATCGTCTTGCTTGGGGTGAATTAATTAAAAAAAAATAAAAGAAGAAAAGTGTACATGTTATGTGGATAGATAGGCTAGATATCGATTGATCTGTGTCTGGAATTTTTGCGTTTTTAAATTTATTATGCAAAACCGAATATCTAATTTAGAAAATAATGCCACCAGATTTTTGTTTAATAAATTTATTCACAATCAAAAATTCTCCAGGACAAAGTGATTCTAGTTTACATTTTAAGATTATTATCATTTTCTCAGACTCTGTAATAATAAAAGAAATCCACAAAAATGTAAAGTTCGTTGGAAAAGGAACCCCCATTAAAATCCACAACAAGAGTATCTGGTTGTTTGTTCTTTTTTATCCCAGTGTCCGGTCACATATCCGGTCACATCCTAAACATTAAACGAAAAATGTGTTGTCCATAGCAACCTTTTTATTTCATCAGGCAAAAACCTGTAAAATTAGTGATTTTATTCTTTCATATCAAAATAATCAACTCTGACGGTAAATTTATTTCGACTGCAATTTCTAAATCTTGAAATTTTATAATTTCTTCATTTTATATATATATATATATATATATATATATATATATATATATATATATATATATATATATATATATATATATATATATATATATATAAAAAGAATTACAGGAATCCCTCGATTAATGCGTTTTCAAAAAGTGCGCTAAAATTTTTATTCGATTAAAGCCTACATAATACTCGATTAGTGTGGTAAAACATTCTTCAGTTAAACCATAGTAATTGAAAATTGATATTATTATAGTTACCGATGTTCAAATTATCCGTACTGATCGAAAGATTCGTGTACTTCAATTTTTCCCCGCAACTGATCTTTCTCTATAAATAAGGAAGAGATATTTTGAATCAAACAAAATTTGGCAGTATGTTATTTTTATACGCAGCTAAATTAAATGATGCTGACAACAAATCCTAAAGTTGCAACGTTGCGAGACTGTAAAACAACGGCAAACTTAATACAAATTGTTTAATTTTTCCGGTATTTTTAGACATGGACGATACTCAGTCCCAAATAATTGCGTTTGTTTTGTAATTTGTCTATACAGGAATATTTGGTCCAAGATAGAAATAAATGCATATTATTTGGTTGACTATTTCTATGTAACTAGAAATTTATAAAAAGGAAATAACGATAAATATATATATATATATATATATATATATATATATATATATATATATATATATATATATATATATACATACGTTTGTGATGTCCATATATATATATATATTATATATATATATATATATATATATATATATATATATATATATATATTATATATATATATATATATATATTTATATATATATATATATAAACAATAATTAATTGTATATATAAAATAGTTTTATAGAATGCTATATTTATGGAAAAATTGTTTAACATTAGAGAGTATATGTTCAGTCAGCTTATATATATATATATATATATATATATATATGCAGACTGAACGTATATACTCACACTCTCTTTCTCTCTCTATATATATATATATTCAATGTTTATAATATAATATAGTTTTAATATATGCTGTATTTATGGGTTAAAGTAATCAGTATCAGGGTCCAAAGCTTATGCAAAATTAATTAGTGTGGACATAGGTATTAACAATACATGACGACAATCCTTTTTGATTTTTCCGGCTACTTATATATATATATATATATATATATATATATATATGAACATATACATATATGTTTTATACATATTTTTAAACTAATTTAAAATACATGCAAATTAACAAGTACACATGGATTGTGTTGTAAATATAGGCACCTCGTGGTTAGATCCTTACTACCTAGTAATGAGTTTGAGCCTAACTGGGTATCTCATTCAAAATTTCTCATTAAATAACTGAACTGTTCACATGGCGTGATATATATATATATATATATATATATATATATATATATGTATATATGTGTGTGTGTGTGTGTGTGTCTGTGTGCGTGTGTATAATGTACATTAACGTAAATATATAGATGCGTATATATGTGTGTAAAATAAGAGATATCCATCATTGTATAACGGATATGTATACGTTTGAATCAATACAGATTACAAATATACATATTAAAAATGTTGATCATACAGGCGCATGTGTTTTTTCTCCAATGGAATCGTCTTGTTAATGCGCTTAATCCATCTCTTCCCCAAAGATGACATCGATCGAAAATGAACATTTCCGATATCAAAATCCCATTAATGTCAGACTATAGACATATTGTTCCATCCTTGTATATGTTCACATGTATGCCACGTGTCACATTAATGTCTGGCATAGCCGTCTCTCTTATTAAGCAGACTCTTTGAAGAATTTGGTAATTATTCCAATATTTATGCTGTTTTCTTGATGACGCCACATTTAATTGAATTTTCTTTTGATTAATGACAATTTTATCCATTCCAGATTAAAGCATATTATATTAGTTTATTATAGCCATCATCTCTATCTTTACTTTTGCATATATTTGTTAATGTTGAATTAATTTTCTTTTATCATTTTACGGTATAATCATCATTATAGTCTTTTTATTCATAGACCAACTATTGCAAATAATATTATTTATTGCTTTAAAGCGATATATTACGATAGGTGCTGAAAAGTTGTCGGTCCGATGAACTTCCCAAAATCTGAACTGATGGCCAAACATTCAGTCAGTTATGTGCTATGCGTGATACACGCTTAGGCGATCATGCATCTTTCGATACATGACTGAGGAAGCAGATTTTTTCCCGCAGTAGGTTGCCATTTCTTTCTATGGTAGACCAGTTGCCATCCAAGGCTACAGAACCCGGTCTGTCCTGCTATTTACCCATAGCTGGGGAGAGAAGAAGAGGATTCATATATTTCCCAAGAGTATTATCACGTAAGTCAATATAATGGATTTGACTGAAGCTCGAACTCGGCTCTCCAATTCTTCAATTCGAGTCACTATCGATTACTCCATCGTGCCAAACATTAGAATTTTGATTTTCGGGAGGAAGAACTGCTTCTTTCTAGCATAATAACATAAAACGATAATGATATCTGGTTGTTCGGAGAGCAACTTTGCATTTTAGAATATTTCAACGCGAGTCTTTGAAGTCGAATCATAGATTATTACATTGATGATAATAATTTGGTTGATTGTTTTTGTTTAGCGGAATATGAACCTTTATGGGTTATTTAATGCCGAAATCTAAATATTTTTTGCGCAATTTTATTTTTTAGAGATAATAAAGGTTTAGTGATACATGTATTAATAATTAACCCATAGCTGGTGCGGAGAAGTGGTGGATTCATAACTTTGCCAATGGGTATTTATACGTAAGTGAATATAACGAACCCAACTGGAATTGGAACTCTGCTCTCCGATTTACAATTCCGAGCCATTATCCATTGTAGCACCCGCAAAACCAAGCGATCACCCATCTTGGCACTGACCCAGCGTTGCTTAACTTCGGTGATCGTACGGGAACCGGTGTTTCAACATGATGTGGCCGTAAGCGGATCATAATGCGGAAGACATTATCAATGTAAATAAAATATAAACACTGTACATATCAAGTATTATTTAACATCAGAAAATGTACAAATAGAACCCATATATTTAATAGGTTACCTTATCCCACGTTTCCGTACGGGATTTCACTAAACAGGAAGGAAATAATAATAATAATAATAATAATAATAATGCAAAGATCTTGAAGTGGACATCTCAAAAATGTGGCACATGAAAACATCAGTAATTCCAGTTGTCGTTGGAGCCCTCGGATTAATTGGAAAAGGTTCCGATAGACTCACTGAAGGGATTCCTGGAAGCTCATGCCTTAAAGAAATACAAAACATTGTACTCACAAGTACAGCTCACACATTAGGAAGAGCTTTTAACTATGTAAAATGTAAAATTTTTTTGTCTTGTTTTACAAAAATTCTCATTGGAAGATGTCATGAAGCCATTTCTAACCTTAGGTCTCTGGCTGAGACCCGGAAGGAAATGTGTAGACAACAAAGACCCAACGAAATAATAATAATAATAATAATAATAATAATAATAATGATGATAATAATAATAATTATGTGGTCACTAAAACCGTCATACAGCTCTAATAATAAATGATCACTTGGAATGAATACCAGAAAAAAAATAATATCTTAAAAAGTTGCAATAGTATTTTAATAAGTATAACAGATAAATATTAAATGAATATTCGGAGTGTTTGCATTTGACAAGTGATTTGTATTTCTTTATTGTTTTTGGTGTGTTGGTTGTTTGAAAATAACCTTAACGCTTTGAATAGAATTTAGCATAAAGATTCATTGGGGAAGTTAATTGGGAAAAAATATCGTTATGGTGTGGAACTAGAAATTAAACCTTGTCAGTTCTGAAGGAAAAAGAATTGCTAAAAAGAGTGAATTCAAGTCAGTATTTCATCTCACCTGTTGAATACTGGCAAGCAATAAAAAGACTCTTTCTTGTTAAACGTTTAATAAAGAGATTCATGGTGCATAATTGAATGGCAAAATCGAAAAAAATATTGTCGGTATTAAAAAACAACAAATGTTAAATATATACAAGAAAACATTATTTAATCTGTCGTAGTCCTCTCGAAGAACGAAACGTTTTATCATTCAATTACCCACCTGATATAGAGAATTTATATATATTCTACTAAACAGACTCATACAAGCAAACAGATTAATAGATTTGATAATTAAATTTAATTTTAGTTTTGATCTTATCCTTTAAAACGGTAATATTAACTTCAGATTAGAATGATAAAACAAGATCCCGGAAATAATTTAATATTTCGGCAAATAGAAAATAGTTTCGATTGTTTGCTGGGTCAGTTTTTCTGTAGTTGAAATAAAAAAAAAGATACATTTGTTAGCTTTGTAAACATGTGACAGAGGAATTTTTATGCCGTTGTGTCCCATAAACGGGTATTTGGGATTGGTTTTAGCAAAGGTAATCAAAATGAAACCCAGTCATATCAGACACCTTTAATATCTTTTAAAGTGAGGCAGACTCAATTTCTTATAATCGTTAGTCGGCTTCTTATCTACCAGCCTCCATATCTCAACATTAAAGAGTAGAGTTTAAATTTTATTGTTGGTATGCCAAAAAAGTTTTGAAAACATTCTTAGTTTTTTCGCATATAAGTGTAAACATATAGAAAATATTTTCATAAGAAAATAACAAATGAAAAAGTTAGACGTTTCTTCTTATATAGATTTATAACTGAGTTTAGACATATAACCAAATACTGTACTGTTCTTTAATTTTTCTTTTATTTAAATTCACTAAATTGTACTTTTCTGTGATGCAGTAAAAACTGCTCAAACAATGAAAAGAACTTTGAATAATTATATAATATCTATAGCCGCTGAAAGGATTTTAAAATTTCTCTTCTTTCTTAAAAAAATATTGATACCCCATGTACTTTTTATATTTAAATACGGGTATTAAAAATGGTACATTTTTGTAATGTTTTCATTCAAGCGAAAGTTTTCTATATTAAAGTTTCCATTATATACATCATTATGGGAGAAAATGATATATAAATTATACATGTGATAGAAGATAGTTTATAGAATGCTATATTCATGGCAAAAAGTGTGTAATATTAAGTATAGAGCCTATGTCCACACTGCTTATATATATTATATTTATTTAATCTTTATTACATAATATCTATATTTAATAATCATAATGGAATATAGTTTTAACGCATGCAGTATATATGGGTGAAAAGTGATCAATATCAATGATAGAGCTTCTGTACATATAAGTAATGTGGACATTGGTGGGTAATTGAATGAAAAAATGGGAAAAATTCTATGTGACGCATTTCGTCTTTGGAGAGGACTTCTTCAGACTAAATAACGATTTTAATGATTGTATTATACACATAAAACAAACAAACAAACACACACACACACACACACACATATATATATATATATATATATATATATATATATATATATATATATATATGTGTGTAATGGAAATAACATAGTAAACGTCGGTTATAGTTATACATCGAGAGAAACGCTAGAGGAACGCTTAATTTAAAACTTACATTTCCGGCATCCGATGTGTTTAGAAGCAATATAATCAAATACATTGAGTAGAAGACTCAGAAATTAGTGCACTTTCTATACAGTTTTATCTTAATAAATTATGTGTTAATGAAAATATCTCTGGTGAGAGTAATGAGATATTGATGATTTTTATTGTTGTTAAATGTGTCATTTTACTCTAAGTTTCTAAATGTATAAATGAAAGCTATTACTTACGTCAATATTTCATTTATAATTTATATATAATCAGTTTATTTAATTTTATTTGATCACTGCAAACTTTAATTAGATCTGATTTATTTGACAAAAATTATTTAGACATTCCTTCAGTCTTGGAAACAATATTGTGCTTTCAAATTTATACAACATCTGCTACAACTAATAATAATAATAATAATAATAATAATAGTAATCATGTCTTTTTTCATCATTGGGTTTATTTGTGAATATCTTCAATCTCATAATTGTTATGGTACAACTACAAAAATTCTTATTTCTGACAAGGTTTGTCCACACTCTGGAGAAAAGAAGCAAAATAATCATCAACACATGTCAGACTTCTAATTATAGAGTTAATCAGAAATTAACATTGAAAATGTTACTAATTGTAGTCCATCATTTAGTGTATAATAAAGTATTTTATCTACTGTATGTTTCATAAACTGTATATTTGCATTAATTTTATTCTTTCATGCTGTATTTCCTAATTTGAAATAAAGTGATTGGACTATATTTTGCCTATATTGATAGTATCATCAACTTTTTCCTTAAAAACTTCGGGCAACATTGATTCGAATATAATTGGTATTTATTCTTATAACAAGTCACGAATTGCTGTTGGCTTCAATGCAGGTAAAGTTACATCAGAGAAAGATTAACGCCAAAGTATCTGATTTTGCAAGGCCTTGGATCAGACTTTTTGAAACAGAGTAATTTATGACTAACGCGTTGTTAGCGAAATAATGCGTTTGTTATCCAGTATTTTCCTTATAAAAATCATGTAGAAAAACATTACGATAAAAGAAGAAACAAGTCGGAAAACTATAAATTTAACATGTTCCGCCATTTATTCATCTTCAAAAAATTTAGGAATGGAATATTACCCAGATCTGTTAATGAGCAGTCTACAAGGAATTAGTAAATTTTATTCGAATTTCAATATTATCTTTTGGGGGAGAAAAATAGTAATAATAAAACGCATTATTTCAATTGCAAATCAATAATAATAATAATAATAATAATAATAATAATATACAATTCCATAAAATATTTTGAATGGTAAAAGCAGGATACATTGTTTAATATTTCTTTTAATAATATATAAAAATCATATCAGCAATTTCTGTCTGATTTTCCAGGATGAGGAATTATTATAGACGCCATTTGTAATCGGACTAATGTCTCATCTTTGTTGTTCTTATCATACGGTTTCGGCTGTTGTCGCCTCCGGCATTCTTCAGATGTTTGACAATCTGGGTAACTTCGAAGAAATTTAAACTGAACCCTACACTGCACTATTTAAGGCTCCAAGTTCTAGGTTAAAGATCGTGTCGCGTGACAGTCGCCTAGTGGATTAAATTGTTAGTTCGTGAATTTGTTGACATATTAAGAGTTTAATCTTGGACCAAGACTCAGATCCAGTGAAAACAGAGTGTGAAATGAGCAGTGCTAAAAGGAAAAAAAAAACAAGATGGAATAATCCTAGACAAGGACAGCGGAACGAGAACATTCTAACCCCCGTAGATCAGATAAAAGGTTTAGATCGAAATCCCCTGGCGATTACCCGGATCGACAGACACCTCTGGAATGTCGGAAGGATAAATGGCCGAAACGGTGTGATCATAACAACAATGGCGACAACGTTAGTTAAACTCTAATGAATGCAAATAATACTTGCACATTGTCAATTTTAATGTTATCATATCAATATAAATGTGATATTTGATGACCGAAATGACAGTCTTAAAAAGAGATTAGATAGATTATACATCTAGATAAGAATTGACTCTATCCAAACGACAGTATCGATAAAAATTGGCGAGAATGCTTCTTGAAGTATTGGAGAATTAAGAGGACTTCTTGTCACTTAACATCTAATTAAAGTTCAATGAATATTATTATAAATAATAATTGACTTTACTGCTCCTCGGTAGATACACAGACTATAATCTATCAGGGAGAATGAAATACAAAATATCCTATGGGTCTTTGCGATTCAGTTCCGGCCAGCAGGTCAGATCTAGTTGCTAACAAGAAGAAAAGGACATGTTGGACGACGGACTTCACTATTACATCCAACCGCAGATAGACAATTAGAAAGAAGTAAAACAACTTCTAAAGCATGATGGTGACATTAATTCCAGTTGTGGTCCGAGGCCTGGGAATAGTCTTGAGGTAACTAACAACGTGTTTAGAAAAT